TGTAAAACTTTATAAAACTTAAAAAAACACTATCGTCGCAATCCCCAAAACATTTGCAAAATTTTGGTGCTACCAATTTCGAAAAAAATCAGTCAATAAAGGTGGAGGTGTAAAACTTAAAAAAACCGCTATCATCGACATTTCCAAAAAATTTTCATAATTTTGATATAAATTTCGTGAAAAAGTCGATTAATAAATTTGTAAATGCGTAAGTGGATACGTGAGTGGGTTGGTGGAGTTGTAAAGCTTTAAAATAACATTTAAAAAATACATACACACATTTTTTCGGAAATGGTGACAATAATGGTTTTTGATACTGATTTTGAAAAAATCAGTCAATAAGTGTGTGAGTGCGTGGGTGGGTGAGTGGGGATGTAAAATTTAAAAAATTCATCATTATCGCCATTCCCGAAAAATTTGTAAAATTTGGATACAAATTTCACGAAAAAAAAATCAATTAATAAATTTGTAAATGCGTGGGTGAATACGTGGGTAGATTAGTAGGATTGTAAAAATTAAAAAATTCATATATAGTAGCCTCTAAAAATTTCAAACATTTTGGTACCGATCTAGAGAAAATCGGTCAATAAATTTGTAAGTGCGTAGGTGGGGGTGTAAAACGTAAAAAAATCGCCATCGTTATCATCCCCGAAAAATTTGCAAAATTTTGGTATTAATTTCGAGAGAATCGGTCCATTAATGAGGGAATGCGTGAATGGGTAGGTACGGTTGTTAAAATTTAAAAAATTATATAGCGACTGTCCTCTAAAAATTTCGAAAATTTTGGTACTGATTTTGAGAAAATTGATCAATTTTGTGAGTGCGTGGGTGGGAGTGTAAAACTTAAAAAAATTGTCATTGTCGTCATAAAAAAAAATTTACAAAATTTCGATACCAATTTCGAGAAAAAGTGGGGGTATAAAACTTAAAAAAACCACATTGTCACACTCCTTGAAAAATTTGCGAAATTTTGGTACTAATTTGGTTAAAATCGGTTCACAAATGTGGAAGTAGTTCGCGGTCAGACCACGGTCGTATACACAGGTCTGGAAACTCTTATGGTGGGGGTAAGGCTCTTAATGTCATGATTTGTGGTTCATAAATCGGTCGCTAACCTCAGAGCGCTGTGATCGCTGAGTAAAGAGCTTATAGCGGGGAGCACACACTCTTGCATAAGCGCATAAGCATATGCATAAAAAATTCGATTGGTTGAATTTCTTATGTACACGTTTATAGACCAATCAAGATTATTATGCTTACGTTTATGCGCCTATGCAAAAGTGTGTGCTTATAGTCTTAAACTCATTTACTAGCCTTTCAAAATGTTCTATAATGTTTATATAAATCAGTTTCTCTGACATTGCTTTTATCAAATCTTTTGAAATTAAAATCTCCATATTTAATATTTCACAAGTTTAATTTTTCTATTAAAAAATATATAACATCACATTATTGTTACAATATCAATATACATAGTAAAATATATCTTGGGGCGGCGGGTGGCCGTGCACGCTGCGTCACCGAAACTCGCCTGAGGCGAAGAGTAAGTGTAACGCAGGTTCGAATCCTACCCAGACCCCAAGTTCGTGATCATCTTCGCTACTTATAGTATTTTTATTTTTAAATGTCTCAGCATCAGTGATCTTTCCAGCATGTGATCGCTGTAATCGCTGAGTAAATACTAGAAAGCGACAAAGTAATGATCCATCAGAAACACTTCCAAACAAAAAACCAAAATATAGTTGTCGTTGCAAAAAGAATTGTCTATCGAAATTTTGCGGCTGCGTAAAACAAAAAATTTCTTGCAAAGCAATATGTAAATGTAATATTCAACTTTGTGAAAACAAGGTAATATTTATTGTTATTTACTGATTTATAAAATGTTTTTATCGTGAGTAGCATTTTTAAGCAACTCTACGTAGAAATTAATTTTATTTTACAGGATACACATGATAATACTGCACATGCTGGAAAGACCACTGATGCTGAGACATTTATAAATAAAAATACTATAAGTAACGAAGATGATCACGAACTTGGGGTCTGGGTGGGATTCGAACCTGCGTTACACTTACTCTTCGCCTCAGGCGAGTTTCGGTGACGCAGCGTGCATGGCTACCCGCCGCCCCAAGATATATTTTACTATGTATATTGATATTGTAACAATAATGTGATGTTATATATTTTTTAATAGAAGAATTAAACTTGTAAAATATTAAATATGGAGATTTTAATTTCAAAAGATTTGATAAAAGCAATGTCAGAGGAACTGATTTATATAAACATTATAGAACATTTTGAAAGGCTAGTAAATGAGTTTAAGAGTCTTCTTTTAAGTGAGTGATATTACATTTTGTATTATATTTCAAATTTCCAAATTATATTCTCATTCTCATGTATTATTCTAATGATATACCTTTTTTTTGCAACTTTGTCGAATAATACAAATTTTACAAGATTAATAAAAATGCATAAATTTATCTGTTCTGCACTTTATTTTTATAGTAAAAGATATATCGGAACTTATTGTAAATATAGAATCCTGAGAAGCTTGAACAATATTATATTGCTTAAGGGGAGTGTGATTTATTGATTTACATAATAGAAATTAGTCAATATATCCTCTGGAATCTTCAATACAGAGAATTATAGATAATATTTTGCACGAAGATTTTCATCTTTTGGCACTTGAAAAGTTGACCATTTTTCTATGCACTTATATTTATTTGTTGTACAATTCGGCACAACACATTCCGACGGCATTTTAATAAAATTTTAATTAAATAGATATGACATATGATATATATGACATATGAGTTATGATATAGTCATTTAAAAAAGAAAGAACTCTTACTATGCGATCACAGTGCCATACGGCTAGCGGTTAACTCAAGAAACTTTTGACATTCATTAAGAGCCTTACCCCCACCATGAGAGTTTCCAGACCTGTGTATACGACCGTGGGTCAGACGGACGATACTTATAATATACTAGCTTTTCGGACCGCGCGAAGCGCGGTCCTAATATAGTCTTTATAAAACTTTATTTAATATAAAAGAGATAGTTCTTTTGTTTTAAATATTTTATTTCGCAAAAATAAGCACCGTCTGTCTGTATGTCTGTCTGACCGCGAAAATATTTATACAGATATAATTAGATATATTATGCAATCAAAATATTTATTAAAAAATTAAAAAAATTTAAAATTAATTAATTATTATTAATTTTTATTTTCCGTTTCTAAATTCTTCAATTTCTCTTTGTCTTGCTGACATTTCGTCCGTGCTGCTATGCTCATCATATAACTTATATCACTCCAATTTTTTTTCGTAAAAACATAGCCTTCTTTATGTTAAAAAAAATTAAAATCCCACCATCTCATCACACTCCCCAAAAATTTTGCAACTTATATATATAGATATATAGATATAAATATTGTAGGCCAACCAAACGAGCAAAATTACAAGATATAAAGATTTATTAATAATTAAATTCTCATTCCATTAGAGAAACAATATACAACGTAAACGTTTCGACTGCACTACAGTCTTCTTCAATACATAAAACTTAATGTATACTCAAACTTAATAATACTCAAACATTAATGTAAGTTGAAAGATTTTTCAATTTTTCTCTGATATTAATTAATTCGCGTAAAATCTCCACAGCATGATTAAATGTCGCAAAACTTGAAATCTCAGACTAATCGTCTTACTTATCCATTGTTCATTAGCGAAGAATCGTTAACTTTGTATTTTAATATTTAAGTTTTATGTATTGAAGAAGACTGTAGTGCAGTCGAAACGTTTACGTTGTATATTGTTTCTCTAATGGAATGAGAATTTAATTATTAATAAATCTTTATATCTTGTAATTTTGCTCGTTTAGTTGGCCTACAATATTTATTTCTTTTAATTTCGTTAATTTATACGAGCCTTTCATTAATTAATTTTATATAGATATAAATAGATATCCAATTTCGAGAAAATGAATTAATAAATGTATGAATGCGTGGGTGGATGCGTATGTAGTATTGTAAAACTTAAAAAAACAACACATAGTAGTGATCCCCGAAAAATATGCAAAATTTTGGTACCAATTTCGAGAAAATCTGTCTATAAATGTGTTGGTGCGTGGGTGGTTGCGTAAGTGTGTGAATAGGGTGATAAAAATAAAAGAAAACACATATTATCGATCCCTGTAAAATATTCGAAATTTTGGTACCAATTTCATGAAAATCCGTTTATAAATTTGTTGATGCGTGGGTGGTTGCGTGGATGAGTGAATAGGGTGTTAAAAATTTTTTAAAATCATATATTAACCATCCCCGACAAATTTACAAAATTTTAGTACAAATTTGTGAATAAATGTGTGAATGCATGGGCGGATGCGTGATTGGAATAAAACTTAAAAAAACCACACAATAGCTTTCTATTAAAAATTTGTAACATTTTGATACCAATTTCGTGAAAATCAGTCAATAAATGCGTATGCACATAGGTGGATACGTGGATGGGTGCGTGGGCGGGTGAATAAGGTGATAAAAATTTTTTAAAATCATATAGTAGCCATCCCCGACAAAATTTGAGTACAAATTTCGAAAAAGTCTGTGAATAAATGTGTGAATGCGTGGGTGGATGCGTGGGTGAAGGTGTAACACTTGAAAAAACCACATTGTCGCCATCTTCAAAAAATTTGCAACATTTTGATACCAATTAAAAAAAAATCGGTCCATAAATATGCGATTGCGTGAGTGGGAGCGTGGGTGGAAGCGTAAAACTTACAAGAAAGTACCATCGTCACACTCCTCGGAAAATTTGTGAAATTTTGGTACCAATTTGATAAAAATCGGTCCACAAATGTGGAAGTAGTTCGCGGTCAGACAGACAGACAAACAGACGGACGGTGCTTATATATATAGATAGATAGAGTATGTGCGTGTGCGTGTGCGTGCGCGCGTGTGTGTCGGTGTATAGTGCACCTACACACTTGCCACTAACCAGTATAATAGACAGTTTTGCGAGACACATTATACGTTGCCTTCGGTATACTGAGTAAACATTTGACAATTGTTGCTTCCGGTAAATCTTCATCCAATAAGGCAACGCGTGATAAAATATTATACAGTCCATCCTCACGCAACGTTACGGTGGGATTTCCAATTTGCTCTTCTGGAATATCTCTGCAATGACACAAATGTAATAATAAATACAAGTTAAATGTGTCCCTTAACAGTCTGCATTATCGACAGGAATTACTATTTCGTATTTCTAATCTTTCGTCGCATTAATTTGACAGAGTTAAAAATGTTTCTCCATGATTGTAATACATATGTATATCAATAATCTCAGGAAACTCCGATTTTATATGGAAAACGAGAAATTACGAAATTATAGTTTTCCTTATTTCTCAGCCATAAGTAATGTCGAATCAACGTCAATTCGTCGTCGAATCGACATTGATTGGTCGAATCGACGTCAAATCAACATCAATTCGACGTTGATTTGATTAATCATTTCTGGCTAAATTATTTTTGTCTCAATATGGCGTCTCGAATTACTGATAAACTGTCAACGTATAATATATGCTTTATACAAAATATATACTTTATATGAACGTAAAAACAAGTTTGCTGAAGTTGAAGTACGCGGAAAAAACATTCTGTTATTTTTGAAATTCAGATTAAAACAGAGTCAGTAGCCGGCGGTACTGTCACTTTCAAGCCTTATAACTCAAGAAGTATTTCATAAAAAAATTTTATTATGCTTTGGAAAGCTCTCGAGATAGCTATAAGAATATGCAATAAAAAATAGAAGGTTCTATTTAAGAAATCCATTCCATTTAAGGCTCTATTATACTTACAAGGCACATATACGCATGACTCGTATTATAGACTATACATACATTATATGTATATACATACATATACATATACGAGTGAGTCAATTAAAGTGTTACAGACTTTTATATCTTGGAAACGAAGAATTTTAGAGAAAAATGTTTTAGACAAAAGTTGTATGGTTTCAAGGAAAACATGAGATGGTGTCATTAATTTGACTTTGAATAGTCATTTGAAGGTGACCTTTACGTAACCTTCAAATGACTATTCAAGGTCAAATCAATGACACCATTTCATGTTTTCCTTGAAACCATACAACTTTTGTCTAAAACATTTTTCTCTAAAATTCTTTGTTTCTAAGATATAAGTCTGTAACACTAATTGATCACTCGTATATATATATATGTATGTATATACATAGATATAATGTATGTATAGTTTGTAATACGAGTCATGTGTATGTGTGCCTTGTAAGTATAATAGAGCCAAAAACAACAGACATTTATGTTTAAGGGGATGCTGACTCTATTTTATCGATAAATATTATCTTTATTTAACTATTTATTGGCTATACAGAATGAAACATCCTTCATTAAAATTAAAGTATTCATAATAAGAAATCTAGGCTACTATGTACATATATGTATATAAAAAAGAAACAAGAATGCTAAATAATTACAATTTTTTTATCGTTTAGGTTAGGTTGACCTAATGTAAAAGACCAATAAGAAAACTAATTATTTAGCTTTCTTGGTTTATGTGATGTCTTCAGACTAGGCTAAATCACGGAGCACGATAATGTATTTAGCTATATATATTTATTTCACATTTGCAGTAAGTATAACAAAACTAGTTAAGTAAAAAGCTGCACGGGGTACCATGTGCTCGCGCCCATGTGTTCGTGCACACACACTACACTTTCTCCACGCGCTCGCCCTCGCGGCACACACTCGCAGTCTCCTCACGCATGCTCACACACACTCCACGCCTTGCTCACGTGTACTTGCATATACTACAACTCTCCTGCCTCTTTAAATGTTGTTTCTGTTCAGGCGAGGAGAGCGTCGCGGTCCAACAGCATCCTTTTTGATAATTTGATCGGCGTGTCTCCTTCTCATGTTGTTATTTTTATCTTTGACTGCGAAGGTGGACGGTGAGGTCTGCTTTACAATTTCTGCTTCCACACGCTTATCTGATCTTACGCTGAAGTCATCGATAACAACCTTGTCTCCTGGTTGGAGATCGAGTTTCCTACTACCTGCTCCTGCTACGATTTGCGCACGCTACCGCTTATCAACAATTTCAGTTAGTCCCGGGCGTAGTGAGTCGAATCTCGTTCGTAATTCCCCCTTGTACATTAATTGGGCAGGACTCCTACCAGTTGTACAGTGCTCGATACTTCTATAGTCAAAAAGAAACATATTAATCGCATTACCTACACTTTCTCCCCCTTTTACAATTTTTTTCACTTTGTCTTTGAATGTTTGTACAATATTTTCCGCAGCTCCGTTCGTCGCAGGGTGGTAGGGTGAGCTAAATGAGTGTTTTACTCCGTTTTCCCGCAAAAAGATTTGAAATTCTTCGCTTCTAAATTGTGGGCCTCCATCAGTAACGCAGTGTAGCGGAAAACCGTATCTTGCGAACAGTAGTTTAAATTCATCTATCAATCTGTACGCTTTTGTGTTATTATTAAAGTTTATAATTTCTGGCCATTTTGAATGCGCGTCTATTACTAATAAGTACATTTTACCGAATAACTCTGCAAAATTACAATGAATTCTCGACCATGCTTTGTCTGGGTATGGCCAAGTTGTTAATGGAATGTGAGGTGGTTTTTTTCTCTCATCAAACAAATATCGCATTCTTTGACTTGCTTTTCAATGTCATTATCAATTCCTGGCCACCAGACGTATGATCGAGCAAACATCTTAATCTTAACAATGCCTAAGTGAGTACATGAAGTTCTTTTAATATTAATTCTCTCATGCGTTCTGGTATCACCGCTCGTAAACCCCAAAACAGACATCCTTTTTCTACTGATAATTCTAATCTTTTATTAAAAATACTTTTTAAATCATTCGACATAGTTTTGTCATTTTTTGGCTAATTACTTACAAAATATTTAATCGCTGTTGAGATTAACGGATCTCTTTTGCTTTCTTTTTCGAGAGTTTTATGGTTGTACGTTATTACACCGGTTTCAAAAAAATTAACCTAAGAGAAATTTGTGTCAATTATGTTTGTGTTATCCTTGATTGGTAACCTCGAAAGCGCATCACAATTTGCATTTGCTTCGGACTTTACATGTTCAATTTCGTATTTAAAACCTGATAGGTAATAAGCCCATCTCTGTAATCTATTATCTGCTGTTTGTGGAATGCCCTTTCGTGGTCCCAAGATCCATTGTAACGCCTTGTTATCTGTTCTTAATATTATGGTTTTTCCGAAGATAAATTGATAAAATCTCTGAAAACCAAATATTATTGCCATTGCTTCTTTATCCATAATTTTCCTGTTTAATTCATGTTTCGGTATTTTCTTTGATGCGAATGCAATTGGTCTTTCTTCGCCATTTTTATACTTATGTGATAAGATCGCTGATAGTCCATAATTTGATGCATTGCATACCAATATTATTTTTTCATTTGGATTATAGTTTACTAATACTTTTGGCGAAACCAATTCGTCTTTTACCCATTTAAACGCTCGTGCACATTCAGCGTTTCACTCAAATTTGTCTTTGTGCGACAAGTCATACAACGGCTTTAAATTTGCTGACCTATTATTTAAGAATCTAGCGTAGAAATTAATTAAGCCTAAAAATGATTCTAGTTCTTTTTGGTTTTTTGGTTGAGGAGCATCTACCATTGCCTTGATTTTAGATTCGGACTTATGTAGTCCTTTTGTATCTATAACGAAACCTAATATTTCTAACTTTTCTTTCATAAAAAACACTTTGATTTATTTAGTCTAAGACCACAATCTTGTAATCGTTGACAAACTCTGTGTAAATTTTGTAGGTGCTCCTCATTCGTTTTTCCTGTTACGTAAATATTGTCGAGATACGCGATCACTCCCTTTAATCTATTTAAACATTTATCCATTTTCCTTTGTACATCTGGAGGTGCTATTGAAACACCTTCGGGTAGTTTTGTATATCTATATAAACCTTTATGTGTTATAATCGTAAGTAATTTTGAGCTATCTTCGTCCACCGGAAACTGCATATATGCATGCTTTAAATCTAATTCCGAAAATGAATTTCCACCTTGTAATTTTGTGAAAATATCATCAATGGTATGCAAAGGATATTTGTCGTTTAACAAATGTTTATTTATTGTTACTTTAAAATTACCACAGATGCGAATTTGACCATTATTTTTGAAAACTGGGACAATTGGAGTTGCCCACTCGCTAACTTCCACTTGTTTTAAATTACCTAATTTTACTAGTCTGTCCAATTCAGTTTCGATTAATGAAGTCAAAGCATGGGCTACTGGTCTATATTTCAAAGCGATCGGTTTTGCATTTTTATGTATATAAATTTTTGATTTGCTCTTATTATACGAGCCCGGTATATCACTGAATAGTTCAGTATATTTGTCGCTTAATGTATTTGCTAAATTTTCAATATTCACGTTATCTATACTTGTATTTCCTAATTTCAAAGGCCATAATCCAAATGCCGCCAGCCATTGCCTACCAATCAATGCTGGACCTTCGCCTGGTAATACGAAACATTCTAATAAGCACGTATTATTTTCCCATTCGACTTTTAACTTTGTCAATTTCCCTACTGGCAGTAGAATTTTTTCATCGTAAATTTTTAATTTTCTATCCGTCTTCAAAAGTGTGCTATTTTTTAATACGGTATTATATAATTTTTCAGAAATAATTGTAACAAAAGTACCCGTATCGATTTCCATGCTAACTTTTACATTGTTTATAAGAACGTTTAAATACATGGGTTTACTTTCCTGATCGTTGCTACACCTATGTTGTGCTTTATAAAACACATCACTTTTAGAATCACTTCTGAAATCACGTAGGCAGTAGAATGAGGATCGGTCGTCACTAGTCATGCTGGAACTGTCCTCCTCTTTCTCTTCCTCTTGGCTTGTTCCTTGAAGGTGTTGTACTTGTTGTTTTTTCTTCTGGTTTTTTCTTTCTGTTTTGCTTCTGCATATTGCCTTCAGGTGTCCCTTTTTCTGGCATTCATGACAAATACTATCCTTGAATCTGCATGTTGGTCTTGTGTGTCCTTTTTTTCCACAGTAATAGCATGATATTTCTGTACTATCCGCGTTTTTTGTTGTTGAGTTTTTCGAGTTTTCTGCCAATATTTCTTGTTAGCATTCCTTATTGCCAGCACCTCGTCTGTGTTTACCTCTTCTGATTTCAATGTATTTAGAGCTTGTTTGGCGTTTTATTGGCGGACTCTTGAGCTATGGCTTCTTGGTAGGTCAATGACTGTTTTTTAAACAACTCCATTTTAGTGTTGTGGCACTTTAACCTACAGACAAATTGATCTCTCAACGAATTATCTAAATTTTTGAAGTTGCAGTGCAACGCTAAGCCCCTTGACTGCGAAATCAGCTACAGATTCTGCATTTTCTTGTTTAGCTTAGTTAAATTTACATCTTTCCATGAGTTCTGAGGGTTTCGGTGTTAAATAATTTCCCATACGTTTTACTAAATCAACATAACTTTTATCTTTCGGTTTATCTGGTGCCACTAATTGTTTCATAAGTTGAAATGCTTTTGCATCTAATCTTACTAACAGGTGCGCAGCCTTCTTGTCGTCTTTGATATCACGAGTTATGAATAACAATTCTAGTTGTTCTGTAAACGTCTTCCAATCATCTGTGTTGAGACGGAACTCAATTTTTATTTCGTCTGCTATCTCTTGCGTACCTTGATGCGCTTTTTTAACTTGCAGGGTGCTTGTAGTAGCGGCGGACGTATTGACTGCTTGTATGCTTCCACTGGCGTTTTTCTCTTTCTCCTTCTGCTGATCTGTATTCTGTCCTTTTTTTAACAAATCTTTCAGCAGTTCTCTTAGGTTTTCAAATTTTTCGCTTCCGTCTACTACTATACCCCTTTTTCGTAGTTCGTTAAGTAGTTGATGTTTGTTTAACGAATGCGCCCAGCTCAAAGTTTTTTCTTGATTTTGCATTTATTTTTACTGTATTCGAGCACTTTTTTACTCGCTTTGACAAAACAATTTTACAGTTTACCCCGTGGCCACTTTTCCGATCGCCTTTCAATTATTCTCACTGATAATTGACGCGCTCTCGCCGCTGAGTACCTTCTTACTCCCTGTTTTCACACTTTCTCGTGGCACCTTACTGTTGCTTTGCCGCGTGGCGAGTATCTAACCTTTTCACCTGCACGCTTTAATCTGCTTTTATCGCTTTAATCCTCGTCGCCATTGTGATGTCTTCAGACTAGGCTAAATCATGGAGCATGATAATGCATTAAGCTATATATTTATTTCACATTTGCAGTAAGTATAACAAAACTAGTTAAGTAAGAAGCTGCACGGGGTACCATGTGCTCGCGCCATTCGTGCACACACACTACACTCTCTCCACGCGCTCGCCCTCGCGGCACACACTCGCAGTCTCCTCACGCATGCTCTCACACACTCCACGTCCTGCTCACGTGTACTCGCATATACTACAGTTTATATAGTAGCCCAGGTTTGTTATTATAAATACTTTAAATCTAGTGAAGAATTAAGGTAGTAGATATTAAACTGACTACACTATTAGATTTGTTAAACTATATTTATTGACGTTTCGACCATACGGGCGTCCTTTCAAAATTACAATAGAAGCATTCTAGAAATTAATGTACATGCAATCAGGAAAACGTGAAATGTATTAGGTGCGCAACTAAGTTCCCGCTGTTTGTCTATAGATGGAGCAGTAAGTGCTGGTCGATTTTGACATTCCAAAACGTCACGAGCCAAGCTTAGTATGGAAAAAACCGCTTTGACATGTTAATGATTTGTTTTGGCGTCATATACTTTTAGAAAATGTCTGATTTTGTACCAAATAATCGTCATTTGCGGGAAGTGTTGATTTTCTTATTTCATTCAATCGAGAGCTCCAAAAAGTTTACCTCTAAGTGAAACAAAAACGAGCGGCCAAAAACCTTCGAAGACGCTGCATTGCTCGGAGGATCCATGCCAAACGCAAGAACAGCTTGCTTCAGCTACCCGCCAAGCCATTTCCAAGCGATTGCATGCGAAAACACAATAGGCACTCTACTGCATGACAACGCTCGCCTCATGCCGTTAAAACTTACGTGGAAACGGCCCACGTCCGATTATTACTTGTTCCGTTCGATCATGGTCTGGCTGATCAGCAGTTCCGCTCATATGCTCTTGATTCGTGGATAGCCTCAAAAGACGAATACTTTTCCGACGTGGCTAACGATGCTAACCACAATAAAGTTGTACTGCGCACCTAATAACAAATACTTACTACTGCATATCGTTATTGACATTTAAAAGTAGTGAGACTTAACTTATTAGGTGTAGTTATCTACTACCTTAGTAATTCCTGGCGAACGAAATTTAATATTTAATCTAGTGAAGAATGTCTCACTTTGTATAGCCAATTAATAGTTCAATGAAAATACAATTTCGATAAAACAGAGTCAGTATTCCCTTAAACCTATAATAGTATTGGACGTAGTAAAAAGTGACTCTATCTGTATAATGTATACATAAATTTCTAATACATGTTTGAGCTCGAATAATTGACAATGTGGAATTCAAAATGTCAGTATAATTATATTTTTTAATAATCAATCGGTAATTAACCGATATTTTTAATTCCATAATGAGGGCGCTATATACTATTTCGTCGGAGGAATCCTAAATGCCGTTCTGTTTTATCAATACTAAAACTTCATTTTTGCGCATTCTTTACTTTTTATTAGTTGAATAAAATAATAAATGCTTTTCTACAATTAAAGAATATATAAAAGCAAAGCGCAAACTTACCGACTTTGTTAAAAACAACAAAAATTTAAATTAAGAAATTAAATTTTTTTGTTCTTCACATAAAATCAGTAGGTTTGCGTTTTGTTCTAATTTATCCGAAATTCTAATTCACATTGGAGAAGAGGGCTAATAACCGATTTTTCCTTGATCCAATAATTTTAAATCATCTTAAAGATAGCAAGAATCGTACCAAATTCTTTAGCTTGATTTACGTGCTGATGGTTCAATTCAGGAATAGAAATGTGATACGAACATTTTAGAATTAATAAAAAATCACTCATTAGAAGAAAAGAATCTGTGCTTCGCTAACCGCACCTAGCTCTTAATAATCCATTATCTGTTAATTAGATATTTAATACTAGAGCCTTTCATTTTTTAATTTTTAAATTTGTAAATCTATTAATATTGTACAACAGATTTCTAATTTTCAGAACTTTAGATAAAGAAGGCGCAAACAGCATTAAAATTTCAAACGATATTTTATCAGTCTTTACTAAAATCCAAGCAACTTTCACTTTAAGCATTTTTGCTTATTATAGTATAAAAATTATGAAAATTAGAGATCTATTGTGTAATATTAGTGAAGATTGGGCTCATGCCAACAAAAAAATCTTCTGAATCTCATATTTTTATTCAATCAATAATTCGTTCAGATATCAGTATATTATTATATGTGTATTTATAGTGATTTAAGATCCTTTAAATTTAAATAAGCATAATTGAAAAATATTTGATAGTTTTAAAAATCGAATTTACTTTTTTCAGAGAGTAGACTCTACATTTACGAATAAATATTTTATTAATCATAAATAATAACAAATATTTTACAATAATTTCGAGATAGTTCTAATAGCATACTTTAACTTTGATTACAATAAAACTTTAGTAAATGTTGACAGTAATTTATACTTCACGGATGATTTTAGTTTTGATATACATATATATTATAAAGCAATTCTCAATAATAAACATTTTGAATTATATAAAATACAAGTTAATTTAATTTCTGAGATATGCTACTCTAAAATATTATTTAAAAAAATTTTTAAAAGACAATTTAATTTTATTAATAATTTTAATCTTGACGTATAATTTCAGTATTATGATTCTCATTGTCAGTAATATTCAAAAGTTTTTTGTCATTAATTAAGCAGTTATTATTAAGCAGTCATAATTAAGCTATCATTATGCAATCACTTAGAGATTTAAATACGGAAAATATAAAATTTAAATATGGAGAATATAAATTTTGTTTTGTGTAGAAAGTTTCTTTTTCAAAACTGCGATATGTAAAGTTAAAATTGTATTCAGCATACAAAAAGCTAAGAAAAATTATTACTTTTTTCTTTTTGTAAAAAAAAAAAATATTTTTTGTTGTGTGTAAACTAGAATATGTAAAAAAATCAGTAATTATAATGTTATTTCAAAAGTTGTTATAATAATAGATTACAAATAACACTTACTCGATAGAGATATCTAAAGTCGGTTGAGGGTAAAGTCCTTCCGCCAGACATGTTATTTCGACTCCATCTTTGTTATTTACAGCCTTTTTCCTGTATACAAGATCGAACTTTTCCTCTGTTGCTGCAATATAAATTAAATACGTTACATTATTTACGGTTAATACTTTTACAACATTTTTGCTGGAAGATAATATAGATTTTTTCTCAAATTGACAAAAATAGGGCTATTTAAGTACTAAATGGCTGCATTTTTTAAATCTCCATAATCAATATTTATATATACAGTATTAAAAAATTGAACAATATTACAGAAATTTGCGAAGAAAAAATGGCTGCCGGTGAGAGAACAGGCAATTTTCGATGTTTGTAGTTAAGGCGAGTGATTATGGTGTGATAAGTCAGATATGGTGATAAGAAAAGAAGAGATGGATAAGGGAAGGGAAGAAAAAGGTGGTATAATGAAGGTGATAAAAAGAGTAGAGTGGATAATAAAATATTGGAGAGATAAAAGCCGGAGTAGCGGAAAAAGGAGTTGTCGAAATGGGCATATAGATGGTGGAAGAAGAAGGTGAAGTCAGTAAAGACGACAGGTGGCGCAGAGTAATAAGGAAAGAAGAATGGTGAGACTGGAGGCCAGCGGAGAACGCCACGAGGATAAGGAGTGTGGAGATGTATCTCCGCAAGTTAGCGCGACAAGTGTGAATAAGTTTAGTTATCCAATAGGCGCTCTTATTGTTTTGTCGTTTCTATGTTTTGTCGTTTCTATGTTTTGTCATTTCTATGTATAGTATATTCTACTAGTCGATTCTTTCCCGTGTTTGAGAATAGAGTTTCCGTGACCATTGTCGACAATTTGATCTTTTGTCGCTTAATCCTTGGCATCCTACACGCATCTGACAATGAGTAATAGTGGGTACTACGAAATTTGCCGTAAAACATACGCATTGACTCCATAGGAAAGAACGGATCGACATTTGGTGGATCGAAAGACAAATCATTGTCAAACGTACTATGCACGTGATTCAGCAGTCAAAAGTGAAAAGTGGTTTATGGTAACAAAATGTGACAAAAAAGATGAAAGATAAAAAGCAAATAAAGGAACTGAAAGAAATAAAGGAAAAGATATGGATTGTGATAAGAGAATCCTAAAAAAATCATAAAAATGAAAAGGTCAGGCCATGTTCAAAAGAAGGTACTCAAAAATTTAAACGATCTAATAATAAATTATCACGAAAAGTAACTGATATGTTATTCAAGGTGCCAGTTCAAAGTGAACATACGTAAAGTGTATATTATCTAAATTTAGTAATAATATATTACCATGAAAAGTAACTGTGATATTTTATTCAAGGTGCAAGTTCACATTGAATATACATACATATAAGTAAAACTGATTACAATTTGATTCTAGAAAATAAGTGCGATATGTTATTCTTAGTGCACAAAATATAATAGTCGTTTATAGAGATTTGATTTGAAATTCATACTAGCCCGTACAATGAAAAATAATTGCTCGTAATTCCAGAGTACCAATTTGTTAATGACTCAGAAAAATAACATGGCGGCCTGCTCTCAAAAAACTTTCGATGGGTAGAATAAATAATTGAAATAAGAGTTGTGAAAATTGTATAAATTAAAAACCTCCAATCTTTCTTTAGTAAAATTTCGAATGATAATTATGATAAAAAATGTTATTTTTCTGAGTCATTAACAAATTGGTACTCTGGAATTACGAGCAATTATTTTTCATTGTACGGGCTAGTATGAATTTCAAATCAAATCTCTATAAACGACTATTATATTTTGTGCACTAAGAATAACATATCGCACTTATTTTCTAGAATCAAATTGTAATCAGTTTTACTTATATGTATGTATATTCAATGTGAACTTGCACCTTGAATAAAATATCACAGTTACTTTTCATGGTAATATATTATTACTAAATTTAGATAATATACACTTTACGTATGTTCACTTTGAACTGGCACCTTGAATAACATATCAGTTACTTTTCGTGATAATTTATTATTAGATCGTTTAAATTTTGAAAGGTTTAAATTTTTGAGTACCTTCTTTTGAACATGGCCTGACCTTTTCATTTTTATGATTTTTTTAGGATATCACTTACTTTTTAAAGTACAGATATATAGAGCAGCTTTCTAGTAATTCAAGTATCACAAATATATGTATTTTTGATTCTTATCACATAACTTTGTATAAGTAACAATTTATGCAATACAGTTCAAAATAATTGAAATATATGGTATATATGTACATATATAAAATATATAATTATATTATAGTATACATATATATTTTATTTAATCATATATGTAAATGTTTGTATAATTGAATAACTTTTAACGATACATTGCACATTTATTTCAATTGCAACAGAATGAATTTATATTCTTGTATGAATATTGAAAATAAAGAATGGGCCCCTCCATCGCCCATTCTTGTGAGAACGCAACCATATATTTTTCTTCGTCTCTCCGATTTTAACACGACATACATATTTCTGTCTGATAATTTTTTTCTTGATGATACTTTTTGAAATGTCATGAAGCCTAGGTCAAATTAGAAACTTATTGCACTCGTTTTAATGCAGCGCTTACAGCAGCTTTTATAAAGCGCCAGAGCAGCCGATATTTTATTTTGGCGCTTACGGCAACTTTTATACAGCGCTAGAACAGTTGATGTTTTAATGTAGCGTTTACGGCAGCCTTTATACAGCGCCATTATTTAATCTGTTCTAAGAACAATATGTATGCCCCTTGTGCTCCTTTGGGCCATTTTTTCTTGAACACTTCCATATCATTAGAGTAATACCATTCCGATTTTGTGTCAGCTCTCAACATACACGTGTAGTGACCACGATTCATTTCTTCACCTTCGTGAAATATAGCGCTTATTAGCTTGTACTTTTTTTTATTAATCGTGATATTACTCGTCGGCACGGCGGTAATCCGATTGTTGATAATTTTTTTAGAAGCACCGTTTACAAAAGTATATAAATTGAGCTGTATTACTACGACGGATAAAGTTGATTCGATTACGGTTTTCTTTTTCAACACGGTGCCCTTACATTCGTTACAATTGCCGTTTATCGTTTCCCATTTAGAAAATTCTACATTAATCAAACTTTGTAGAGTGACACCTTTTTTCCTTTTTAATGTCGAATGTATAGGTAATATTAACAAACTACTGCTTTCCAGCTTAGTTACATTGTAATTACATTTGACATTCGAGCAACATGTTACGTGCTTTAATTCGAGTTTTAATACATCATTGATGTCGGAATACGTCGACATTAGAGCCGTAAAAAATTCCGAAACATCTTGTTGTGTTCGTTCTTCGAAGCGTTTTCCGACAGATCTTCTAACCGCTTGAATGTTGCAATATTTACGTTCACCATACGCGCAGATAGCATCAATCAATGCATTCGATGCTTTATTTTTCAGTATTTGTTGCCTAATACGTACGCAATGAAACGCACATTGTAATATTACATTAGCGTAACACGAAACAGCATCGTTATTGCAAAGGCCATATATTTTCCATGTAACTATACTTTCTGGTTCCTCACAATCATAATTCTGCATATCATCAATGATATTAGGGATATCCCATCGACGATCGTACATTTTCACAACCTTTTTCTCGGACGGATTGATTTGTGGCAGTTCAGATTTGAATATAGATCTCAGTCGATTATATTCTACAATGGCTCTCGAGTTTGCTTTAACTGATGCTGGATTGAAATTTATCAAATGTAGGCCTTCCAATTTACTTACTCGTGACAAACCTACATAGGCTTGACCATCACTGAATACAGTCGTTCCTAAATCCATCATTGCATTGTTACATGTAATTCCTTCGATTATAAATAATTCGACATTCTTTAATTTGTCTCTCAAAGTTTTCAAGACCATGTCTGACAATTGCGTATATTTTGGTGTAGATTCATGACTAACCGGTAGTTGAAACATTCTATGGATTGTCAAGCCATCGATATTGAATGCTGCGATACCCGTGGGAGCAGATATGGCAGTCGTTTTTTCCAAATTTATTCTGATCCAATGTTTAATTGTTTCAATTAGAAAACTTTTCCCTGTACCACCCTCGCCATTTACGCACATCTATCTAGAAGTACTTACAGGATCGTATGCGATTAGTTTGCTGATGCCTAACTTCTCTTTATCGGGATTCATATCTCGTAAATATTCACCCAAATCGGACCATTTCCATTCACTAGGACTCAAAGTCAAAAACCACGTCGCTGGACCGTAATGCAAAGTCATGCATTTTACATTATTAGACGGTTGTCGCCAAAATTGATCCGTATTTCTCAATTTTGCGAAAATACTCATTAAATTCGATTCTAATTGGTAACCTTTCAATTCGTTCAAGTATCTACCAGCAGTGTATCTCTCTCGTGGGTTAGTAACCATCATCGTATAATAGATACCACTTTTCAACTGTCGGTAGTTAGCATCATTGAGAAGGAAGAACAGATACTGCAGATTCAACCTGAATCTACTATGTTTCGACATCAATCGTGTTCTAATAAATAAATATTCCGGCAATGCAAAGTTTCTATCTTCTCGTTGTCCATTGACACCATCAGGATATAAATCAGGGAAACACATGACATCCAGATATTTATAACGATTATCCATTGGAAAATCTTCAATTTTCACCATTTGATAAAGCTTCAATGCAGATTCGTTATCGATTCTTTTCGCGTGTATTGGGTATATTGTATACTGATCGTTAATATTCGAATGTTCAGTGATTTGTGTGAGAAAAGCCGTACGTTTTAAAACGGTTTGATCATTATTATTTTTGTTTTGCTGTACATTGTACAAATTCAATGCTGGTAATTCCTCAACCACCTCATTTATTTCGTCATTGTCGCTTTCCTCATCGACAATCCTATATTCTGTTTCCTGCAACTTATCCTTTAATAGATCATCAGATGACGCTGGAAGACGAATTTTTGAGTAATGAGGATTATTTTCTTTCAACCATTGTAAAGCCTTATACATTTTATTAATATCTATCAAATTTTCCCAAACCACTTTAGATTTCTTGGGTATACCTCGAACGAGAATG